TGTAGCTCGCTGATCCGTTTATCGCAATGGCAGCTCACTTGGTTAATTTATTCAATTTCCGACTATTAAAAATTTGCTTCCGATCCATTGAGTGAGGTGCTTGAGAACACCCTGAAGTAACTTTGATGGAAATCAATTTATTTTTAACGTTTTAAATATTATTATAAAACTTTCCTACAAAATTATGTATTTTTAATTCAAATCTATACAACAGCACTAATAACAATACGGCTAATCTCCTGGCTAGAAGATCGAACAGATAATTCCATTGTGACACCGGTACTAGGGGAAAATGTCATACGACTTTTGGCAAGAACTTCCACTCCGCCTAAACATATACCAGAAAGTAAAAGAGTATGTACACTTGATGATTGTGGTGTCCCGGTGTTTTCGACAGCACTCATTCCAAGAAGTTCAATTAGAGTTGTACAGGCAGCTAATAAGGCGTGATTATATTAGTGTGAATAATCAAATTTAATACATACATAACTTAATATGCAGCTTTGAAATATACCTTTCAAACTCTTTGCTGCAGTCAAGGCAAATGTCTCGACTACTTGACCATCTTCACCGAGTTTGTCCCAGGCACCTTGGAAATCAGATGTGTATGTAGGGAGGACGTAGTCCCCAGTCACTAACTCGACATCTTCAACCTAATTTAATGACATATATTATTACAAAATTAAAAGTTGCGTTAATTTTAATTTAATGTTTACCAGATATTCATCTTCGTAGCCTTCTTCACTGGGTTCGCCAGTAGTAGGATCACAATCCTTAACTACAAATTTCAAAGTATTTGAAAAACTTCCTAGAGGATATTCATCGAGATTGGTTCTTTTAAAAGCAACGTATACAGATCCAGGCTGATCATACGCTAACTTAGCAGTTGGAATTACAAACTCCTCCTCTAGACCAATATCGTCTGATTCTGGTTGCATTACAACTGACACATTCTCTAACAACTGATCATTTAATGTATTGTTTATATTAAACTGTCATTTTTAGGAAAAGCATTATAATTAGTAAAAGTCACTATATGCAGATTTACTTAATTATCATCAATAACGAACAAACTAAATGTACCTGGAATACTATGTTTTCATTGAACACGTGTTTTACGCAACTAACAACATATTCTGTCTCACTTTCTGTAAGTTCAACTGGTTTGGTACTACTTTTGAACAAAGTTCCAAATGCTGCAATTTCTGGAATTTTCTCCAATTGTTGAGCATAGATTTGCTGCTGGTCTATTCCAGGGGTGGGTGTTGCATCCCTACTTGTTGTAGAAGTAGTAGCCGGGATGATTCCAACAACAGATGGAGAAGAAACTCCAATGGTCTGTGTAGTCAGGTCAAAGCTTCGAGGTCGTAGATTCTCAGCTTCAGCTTGAGATTTCGTTATCTTTGGAACAGCGGATAGATCGAATGGGTTTTCCGCAGACTCGGGATTACTTACGTATTGCACCAGTTGTCTTTCAAGAGCAGCAAGTGAATACGTAGAGTCTATACAGGAATATGGTTTAATAACATTAATCTTTAAAATTCAATCATGATTGAAATTCTACAAACCATCTTTAAGATATTTTTCAGCGTTATCCTCATCATCTAAAAGTTTCAAATATAAAGTTGCTCTATCTCGAACTTCGTCATCATTATCGTCCAAACATCTAAATAATTACCAATTATATATCAAATATACGATAACAATAACTAAAAAAAGTTTCATAAACCAAAATTACCTAGAGAGAAGAACTTTTATACTCTTCTTGACCTCGGGGTCATCTACATTGACACCAAATTTAGCAAGAGCACTCACTGCCGCTGCTCTAACAATAGAGTTTTCCAAAATAACACGATTATAAATGTAGCGGATATATTTTGTAGGGGTAGCAGTCTTTGGTCCTTCAACACCAAGAAGGTGTAAAACACGTACAGAAAGCTTTGTGAATTCACAATCTTCTATGAATTCGCATAAGTGAGCCAAAGCTAAAAAAAAAAATATACATACAAATTTTTAGACTTTCATATATGAATTTGTAAATTTGTAATAATGAACCCAAGACTTAAAATACACGATATCTTACCAGCCTCCTTGGATTCAGGTATGAATTTGACCAAGTCAAATATTGCTTCAACTACTGCACGTTTAAATTCATATCCTCCTTCGTCTCTTAATACCCCACTTAAAAAGCTAAGCATTACGGCTTGTTTCGTGGGGAATTTTAGGCATAAAGAACGGATCGCATCAACAACAATAACTTTGAATTCATCAGAAATTTCTGACATGAACCCAGTAATTTGTTTCATTAAACGATCGACGCTAGCTTCATTTCCGGTCTAAAATTTGATTAATATTATATTATTACATCATTTTAATTAAATAAATATTATTATTCAAATAGAATTCAGTCTCACTTTTAATAATGTGGTTATGGCGAATGTGGCAACACTTCTATTTTGATCTGTTATTAGATTTTCCATATCTAAATTACAAGGCTGAACCGCTGTAGGATGGGTCATAGCCAATTTATTAAGGGTACGAATAGCTGCAAATCGTAATGTAAATCTAGGTGATGAGAGGAATAGTTGGAGCACTAAATGTTCATATAAATTATCAGTTTTGATCAAAATTCGCCATATTTCAAAAGATTTTATCAAATATACAAAAATGTACAATATGTTACCATTGATAGCTGGATATAATTCTTTGCTTGTCACATCCTTAATGTTACATATTGCTTTTGCCGCTTCGAAATTGACAATATCACTTTTATGTCTCAACCATCCTTCCAAAAGATCATACATTGGTTGCCTTGAACTATTAGTAAATTGAAGTTGGTGAATGAAAAGAGACAGAATTTACCAACAATAAAATTAATTCTATATTTCGACTCACTTAGGATCTTCATCTAAAATCTTTGCTGCAAACCGAATCAATAAACAATATGCAAAAGTATTACGTAAAACCCCACTAGAGGAACCAAAGCCGCCCCTATTACTTCCAGCTAACTGTTGTATCAACTTTGTTACAGCCATGCGATCATGTTGACGAATTAAATATAAAAGACCTAATGCGTGATATTGATTAATATTACTGGTAGAAGGGGGTGTACTATATGAAGAACTACTTGTCGAGAAAGACGTTAAATATGAAGAGGCAGTCCCGACAAGCGAAGAAGGCTTAGAATTAATAGCTTCGTGAACTTCATTGGCCCATCTTTTAATCACATCTTTTCCGGCGGGAAACAAATGATAACTAGACACGATAGCGGCAGAAGAAATAGATGGAGTTTTGTCGACAATGGCCGCTTTGAGAAAACGTTCGACACTTGGAAGCATTGATGCCTAAAAGGATTTAAGTTTAAATAAGTAAACATAATTAACAACAATTAAAAAATATATAAAATAAATATAGTTACATCAGTGATTTTACATAGGGCTCTAATAGCATTTGCACGATAAATAAATAATGTAATTTTGAAACTATGTTGAGACATTTTTTAATTTATTTAACTAATTCGACTAAAATGACAAATTAATAAATTTTAATAGTAAAATATCAATTATCTGAACACTTAAGTTATAGAAACCTACTAAAATTGGATACAAATATTAAATATTGCTACATAGTTTTAAAGCCATACTATTTATCTATCATTTACAAGTTGTTGAATTGAATTTGCTTTGCTAGTGCAGAAGTTAGAACATTTTAAAGATAAACCTAGGCCTATATCACATGATTTCAATCACTGCGAATATACAGTACCGGACAGTCTAAGATATCCTATTTTATTTAACTTTTTAAAAATGTTATAACTTAACCAAAAATTATTAAATAGACAAACTCTCTTACAAATTAATAGTTTATAATTCAATCTATCTTTTTGTAAGAGGATTTTTTTATTTTTGTTTTTTACAGTACAAACATAAGCAACTTTATATGTAGATTGAGAATTTGGCGCGCAGATCTTCATGTGATCACAAGGAATAAGCCAATAAAAATCGTTGTGACGCAATCACGTGATCACGGCCAATCAAAATCAAACACATAAAAGACTTAAATGCGGCTATCATTTTTTTTTTTTAATCAAATGCCAAAGACAAGAAAGCTGAAGCAACTGCAGCAAGAAAGAGCAAATTTAGCTTGTATTGTAAGGTTGGCAGACACCAACATGCACAGCACCGGAACCAGCAGAATCAGCAGCACCAGAACCAGCACCAGAACAAGCAATGCCATTAACCTCGCCTTAAATGATAAATCTGAAACCGATAGTTTGGTTAATTCTGATAATGACTATGATATCCAAGAAGATGATTATTTTCAAGAGAACGATGACAACGAAAGAGTAAACTTAGTTATTAGCCATCTTTTTGCTGCTTTGGCCGCAATTACTAAAAAAAAAAGCTACTCAGCTGTTTATGTCAGAAATTCAAAGCGAACGAATCAAAGAAAAAAAAATATTGAGAGAAGCTGCAATGGGATCTTTAAAAATTACGCAATTTTTTTCTTTTACAGCTTCTACGCCAACCATTAATGAACATTTTTATGAAGGCGAAAATCAAGATAATGAAAAGGGCAGGATGCAACATAATAATGAGGGTATGACCGAGCATAATAATGAGGACATGACCAGGTATAATTATGAGGATATGACCGGCCATAATAATGAGGACATG